GATCATGGGGTTTTTGACCCTTCTCTTCGTTTCATGGAAGACTTTTCACTCCATCAGAAGCCTGTTTACAGTGCAGAGAACAAAACACCTTGCTCCCCACCTCGCAGGATACATTAAGGAAAAACATCAACTTTTGGAAAAAGTCGGCCAGATTCAAAAGGAGAATGAAGGCTTGGAGGCTGCTCTCAAGGAGGCCCGCGTCCTTGAGAAAGAGGGAGCCAGGCAAGCCCAGGGTTGGGAGGCAGCCTACAAGGACATGGCCAGGTTTCGAGGGCGGATAACCTCCATCCTCACAGAGCTCAAAGAAGAGCAATCACAACATTGTAAAAAACAGCAACTGAGGATGAAAGTGATGTCTGGCAGGATCCGGTCCCTAATACAGGAATCAAAACTTCTCACGGCTGAAATAGCTGAAGTCAAGGTCGCCCTTTTGAACTTCAGCAAAGAGCAGCTCCAGAGAGAAGTGAAAGACACTGTGAGACAGAAGGCCCAACTCCAGGAAAGCCAGGGACAGCTTCTCCAGGAGGCTCGAAGGTGGAAGGAACAAGTGGGTACACTCACCTCCCAGAAAACAGCGCTGCACGATGCCTGGGTTGGAGCAGGGCAACTGCTTCAGGGGAAAGGACAGCACAGGGAGGCTCTGTCTGGGCACCTGCTCCTCCCCACAAAAGGTGGGGCTTCAGGGCCCCCAGGGGACCGCACACCACCTGAGGACTACCAGCAAGAAGTGAGGAGGCAGCCCCAAAGTTGTCCCGGCTTTGCTGATGGGCCAGAAGGACCCTCGGAGAGACTGGTTTTCAGCACTCAGGTCAATGCGTCCTTCCAGACCCTGGAAGAGCAAAGAGGCCGACTTCACGCTCAGCTCTTGGGAGCACAGCAAACCAACGAAGAACTGGCAGAGTCTGTGCGACATCTCCAGACTCAGCGAGCGTCTCTGCAGTCGGACAACACAGAGCTGCGAAGAGAGCGCCAGAAGCTTCAGCTGAAGTTCACAGTGAAGACCGAAGTTCACCAACAAACAATCCTGAGCTGCTACAGGAAACTGAGCCTGGCAGCGAAGACCCGAGCGCAACAGGAGCCGAAACTGGAGGAGGTGGGCCGCGTCGCCGAAGAGCTGGAGACCTACAGAAAGCGAGTCCAAGACATGGAAGAGGAATGGGAGAGGACTCTTCGTTTCTACCAGAGGCAGGTGACCTCCATGCAGAGAGAAGCCTGTGAGAACTGGGACAAAGCTGTCATCGCTGAAAGACGCCTGCAGGATTTAAGAAGAGAAAATGCTCGCACCAGACAAATCCTCTGTGCAGCAGAGCTGAAAGATTCACTGGTAGGCAAACATCCTGCCACTCTCAGTGTCACAAAGAGCACCTCTGGCCCAGAGCGTTCCCCACGAGGTCCTTCCCCTAGGCGTCGGCCTAGACCCACATCTAAAAGATCTGTGTGCCCTCTCCCAACGCTGTGGGAGGAGCCACTGGGAGGCCAAGTGTCCTCTCCAACGGGCCCAGGAAACTCTCAGTTGGACCTCACCCAGCTCAGCCTGCTCCAAGCCCACCCCAGTGCGAGGGCTTGATTCCTCCAGACCTCCCTCCAGCTGGAGCTGCATCATTTGCAATGCCTCTAACAGGACAGATCGCCTCATCCTCCCCTGCTTCCTCCAAGAAACAGGGACGAAGGTACTGCACATCTTGGCCAACCCTGGTGTCTCCCCCAAGTGGCACCATGGCCAGCTTTCACCATCAGAAAGACCTAATCCCTGTGCCTTATTCTTCTGACTCTCCTACCCATACTGGGGTTTCCCAGTCACCTCATGGCCACTGAATGGAGTGGCCCATTTGGGATACATTCTGACTTCCAAAGAGCCTGCTACCCAACACACAGCCCTCCACACAACAGGAATCAGGCCCCAGCCTTGCTCACCCTCCATTAGTTATTCTAAACTCTCCCTCCCTTTCTGCCCTTTTGCCCTTTCTTAGAAATTTTAGTTCATAAATAAAAAAAATTAAATATGACAAACTGTACATGCTCACATCCTAAACCGCTATCAACTAGGAGCGACTAAAAAAGAAACAAAGTGTACCTTATGCAGTGCTTAGAGCCTTGGGGGCACTGCCCTTCTGCCTCCTGCAGGCAAGAAGAGTCCCAAGAGCCACCAATCTGACTGTGTGGTGGTCTCCCTCACAGTGTGCTCTTTGTCA